CCACGTCCCACCATTATTACCCCTCAGGCCTCCCCACGTCCCACCACCAGGATGGGCCCGTTGTCCACCTGTGAAAGGGGAAGCTGTGGCTTTCCTTGGGGTTGCAGCACAGGCCGTGTCTGCGGGGTGAGTGCAGCTCCACGCAGGGCTCTTCTCCGCGGTGTGGACAGTTGGGCAGCGCCGCCCCCTGCTGAGTGGCATCGGGCTGTTCTCCTGCTGTCAGCTGCTGCTGTGGGCATCGGGAAGGCACTGAGGGTGCCTGGCTGTGTCTGCCCCAGCCGTGTGTCCCTGCAGTGTTCGAGACCTTGTGGAACACACTTGACCCGGCGCTGGGACGGGGTCGGCTGACACGCACCGCCAGCCCACAGGAGGGGGTGCAGGCTTGCTGCTCCTTAGGCCCCCGACAGCTCTCACGAGGCCGGTCCTCCCTCCCCTCCTCCCGAGGCTCACAACAGCAGCCGCAGACAGAGGCAGAGAGAGCAAGTGAGGCTGTAGGGTCTCGGCGGGAACCTGGGTGGCTAGGGGACACACCGGTGAACTTTCCCACCCCCCACCAGGCACTCCCACCAAGGCTCAGGTGCCTGTGGTGCAAGGTGAAGCCCCATCTGCCATGCCGCTCTCACCCCCTCAGCAGACGTGCCCCTTCCTAGCCCGTGGAGAGCAAGACGGCTCTGGCTGCCATTGTTTCTCCACGGATGGAGACCTGAGGCCGTGTCCACATTGTCACCGTCACTACTATCACCCATCATGTCCCTCACTATTGCCCTCAGACCTTCCAGTCCCACCATTACTCCCCTCAGGCCTCCCCACGTCCCACCATTATTGCCACACCCTCAGGCCTCCCATCACCTCCACCATTACCACCCCCTCAGGCCTCCTACCACCCCACCATTATTACCCCTCAGGCCTCCCCACGTCCCACCATTACCACCCTCAGGCCTCCCACGCCCCACCACATACCCCTCAGGCCTCCCCACGCCCCCACCATTACCACCCTCATGGGCCTCCCCACGCCCCACCATTATTACCCTCAGGCCTCCCCACGCCCCACCATTATTACTCCTCAGGCTTCCTCATGTGTCCCACCATTATTACCTCAGGCTTCCTATGTCCTACCGATTATTATTCCTCAATCCTCCCACGCCCACCATTATTATCCCTCAGGCCTCCCCACGTCCCACCATCATTACCTGAGTCCTCCCACATTTCCCAGCAGCTTATTACCCATCAGGTGTCTCCACCGTCCCACCATTATTACCCCTCAGGCCTTCCTGTACATCCCATCATGACTACCTCCTTAGTCCTCCCCACATCCCACCATTATTACCCTTGAGTCCTCCCCACATCCCACCATTATTACCCCCTCAGTCCTCCTACATCCTGCACCATTATTACCCTTGAGTCCTCCCTGTAAATCCCACCATTATGACCCCTCAGGCCTCCCAATGGCCCCAGGCACCATTATTACCCTCAGTCCTCTCCACGTCCCACCATTATTACCCCTCAGGCCTCCCCACGTCCCACCATTATTACTCCTCAGGCTTCCTCATGTCCCACCATTATTACTCCTCAGGCTTCCTCATGTCCCACGATTATTATTCCTCAATCCTCCCCACGTCCCACCATTATTATCCCTCAGGCCTCCCCACGTCCCACCATCATTACCTGAGTCCTCCCCACATCTCAGCATTATTACCCATCAGGTGTCTCCACGTCCCACCATTATTACCCCTCAGGCCTTCCCACATCCCATCATGACTACCCCTTAGTCCTCCCCACATCCCACCATTATTACCCTTGAGTCCTCCCCACATCCCACCATTATTACCCCTCAGTCCTCCCCACATCCCACCATTATTACCCTTGAGTCCTCCCCAAATCCCACCATTATGACCCCTCAGGCCTCCCCACGTCCCACCATTATTACCCCTCAGTCCTCTTATTACCCCTCAGGCCTCCCCGTCCCCATTCCTGCCCCTCAGGCCTCCCCCCGTCCCACCATTATTGCCTGGGCCTCCCCCGTCCATTACCACCCCCTCCAGGCCTCCCCACGTCCCACCATTATTCCCCTCAGGCCTCCCCACGTCCCACCATTACCACCCCTCAGGCCTCCCCACGTCCCACCATTGTGCCTCAGGGCCTCCCAGTCCACCATTATTGCTCTCAGGCTTCCTCATGTCCCACCATTATTACTCCTCAGGCTTCCTCATGTCCCACGATTATTATTCCTCAATCCTCCCCACGTCCCACCATTATTATCCCTCAGGCCTCCCCACGTCCCACCATCATTACCTGAGTCCTCCCCACATCTCAGCATTATTACCCATCAGGTGTCTCCCGCGTCCCACCATTGTACCTCAGGCCTTCCCACATCCCATCATGACTACCCATAGGTCCTCCCATCCCACCATTATTACCCTTGAGTCCTCCCCACATCCCACCATTATTACCTCAGTCTCCCATCACCATTATTACCCATGAGTCCTCCCCAAAATCCCACCATTATGACCCCTCCAGGTGTCTGCCTCCCACGTCCCACCATTATTACCCCTCAGTCCTCTCCGTCCCACCATTATTATCCCTCAGGCCTCCCCACGTCCCACCATTATTACCCCTCAGGCCTTCCCAAGTCCCACCATTATTACCCCTCAGGCCTCCCCACGTCCCACCATTATTACCCCTCAGTCCTCTCCACGTCCCACCATTATTACCCCTCAGGCCTCCCCACGTCCCACCATTATTACCCCTCAGTCCTCTCCCACGTCCCACATTATTATCCCTCAGGCCTCCCCAAATCCCACCATTATTACCCCTCTCCCACCATTATTACCCCTCAGTCCTCTCCACGTCCCACCATTATTACCCCTCAGGCCTCCCCACGTCCCACCATTATTACCCCTTAGTTCTCTCCACATTCCATCATTATCACCCTCAGGCCTCCCCACGTCCCACCATTATTACCCCTCAGGCCTTCCCAAGTCTTATCATGACTACCCCTCAGACCTCCCTTCTGTCCCCTTCATCATTGCCTCTCAGGCCTCCCTCCTGTCCCTGTCACTGTTACCCTTCATGACCCACCCATGGCTTCATTAGTTCCTTGTTGTGTCCCCGCGTTTCCCGTTTGTATCATTTAGGCCTCTTTCGACCCCACAATCACTGTTCTGACTGGAGTCCTTTCTTCTGGAGCTCCGCTGGCCGGGGCTGGATGAGGACCTGAGCCCAGCCCTCTTCATGCACTGAGCAGCCGCCCTTCCCCCACAGGTGGGGCCTGTTCTGAGCCACCGGAATCCCCACCGTGTCTCCCTCCTGAGCAGGTGGCTCCTCCTGCCTCTTTGCAGACGTCTTTTGTTGCAAGGCTGAACCAGTGCAATGGGAAGAGAGTTAACTGGTCTCAAATTCTGGGGCATCCCCGTCTCGTGCCACAGTGGCCGAGCACAGCAGGGCGTGGGGCTCCTGGGGGACGCTGCACTCAGCAGCACGGTGGGCGCGAGGACGCTGAGGGACCAGCAGCCCAGGGCGTTTGGGTGGGGCCGTCCGACCCCGCACGGAGCAGAGCCCTCTTCCTCTCCGCAGAGTGTCACGGAAAGTGCCTGTGGCGTAGGAGCTGCCGCACGCACTCCGGACAAGTCGGGTCCGGCATGCCCGTCCAGGAGCACCTGGGCCCTGCTGGGGAATCCTCATTAGTGTTTGTGAAGAGTCACACGGAGGGCGGGAGCCCGGGCTCCTGGTGCCTTCCACACCGGGGGCGGAGCCCTCTGCAGAGAGCCTGGCTCTGTGTCCTGTAGCTGAGCGCCAGGTCCTGTCTTGGGCAGGGGCCAGGTTCAGCGGGGCCTCTGAGCAGGGCCAGCGGGGAGGCCACGTGTGCCTGTCTTTACAGAGGCTGAGCTCCCACACAGGATGGAGTCAGGACCCTCTGTGGGCACCGCGTCAGGAGGTGCTGCAGGCGGGGCTGGGCGTGTGGGGCACCTTCACTTGCCCGGTCTCTGGCCGCACAGAGCCTTGGGCGAGCCGGCCTCGGGTGTGTGTTTGCAGCCAGGATTCCTCCTGGAGCTCAGTGCCAGTGCGTCCCTGTTATCAGTTTCCATGACACAGTTCCTGGTTCTCCATCTGTGTTTTGTTATTGTTATTCTTAAAAATAGTCAGGGGGGTTGTTGAAAGGGAATTTAGGGAAGTGAGTGGGGTGATGAAATGCACACCCACTAATTGCTCCAGGAAAAGCCGCCCTGAGACAGGCCGGGGCCTTTGCAGAAACACATGGGGCTTATCTGGGCTCTGGGTGCTCCAGCCCAGGGCAGAGGGAAGCCCGGGCAGTTCCGTGACGTCAGCGCACGCCCTGCCAGAACCTGGGAGGGAGATGGGACGTGGTGACAGTGCTGGGGGCACATTCCCTATCTCAGCGCCCATCAGGGCAGCCGCGGCAGGAGGTGGGTGGAGCGGGGATACCAGCAGCTCACAAAGGCCCTCACAGTGCCGCTTGTTTCCTCTGCATCTGCCAGAAGTCACAGGTGACGGGGAACATCACCGGTGTGTGGGGGGCTCAGGGACACCGCCGTCCAAAGGGAAATAAAAATCAGGAAGAGCCTGAGAGGGAGGCTCAGGCAACACTGGTACTGACCCCACGGAGGTGCTGGTGTGGACCCACGGGTTGCTGGGTCTGTGGAGAGACATCCGTGGCATCTTCGCAGCTTCGCGGCCAGCACCTGGCACCTGCACTTTGGCCGTCAGAGATGTGCTGGCACCGTGCTACGGACAAGGGTGGGTTTCTGCTAGCAGAAACCTGGCGACCCCAGCTCTCTGCCGAGGCAGCCGGGCGCTGGTTCACGACACTCATGGACCAGGGTGGGACCGAGGAGGAAATGCAGGTTCCTGGGGGCACGCCTTGTCACAGGCGTGAGCATCACTGACGAGAAGCAGGGCTGGGGGCGTTTCTTTGATGTTTATAGATACTTGCTGGAGAGGCATGTTTCCCTAATACTTTCTCAATTTTTCTTTTCTTGCAGTAAATGAAATAATACGAAATGACCTCTCCAGCACGAGCACCCACTCCTAGTCGCCACATTGGAGCACTCGGTTCAGCGGGCTGTGCTGACTTCAGCAGACAGAGACTTTTGAATAAATAAACTGAACACACAGCTGGTACCACTCGGAACCTCCAGTTGGCTGAAGGCTAGGAGCTGAACATTAATACGTGCAACGAAGTGGCTCTCCACCAAGAAGGAAAGCCCGGAAGAAGGGAGACCACTGTGTCTCCTGGAGGAGAAGTCATCTCACGACAACAGAAGGGAGGTGGCTGGGCTGAGACAGGAGACCCACCGTGCAGGGGCCTTTCATGGGAACAGCCCACATGCAGTCTGACCCCAAGCCCAGCCCTTCTGGCAGCCCTGGGGTTCAATACTGGAAGTGCCTTATTTAACTCGACAGGGCATCGTAGAACTGAGCATTGGATTTGCTACTGTAGGAGTATTTGTAGGAGCAGAAACTGTAAACACATTTCATTGTGAGGTTTTTCCCTTTGTATGAACGAAGAGAACACTGGCAGGCTGCGAGAGGACCCTCATACGAGTCTCCTACATTTGGAACGTTTTCTGGGCTGTCACGTACAACCTTGCTGCCTCACCCAGTGCGTTCTAGAATCTTCCAGTCTGTCATCTCAGCTCTTCTGTAACACGCTTCCTTCGTCTGTGCAGTCGAAACCGTAGGCCTGTTCATAGTCGCATGCTAGCATCTTTGTTTTTAATCTGGCTTCGAACATGGCACAAGTAAGTTGAATAGCACATCAATAGGTTACTGGACAAAAGCAGAAAAACCTGCTACAGGATAGACTGCATTTGCATGTGTGTATATATCTAGGCATCTATTTATGGATAAATAATAAACAACAGAGCCGACGCGTCCTCGCCCGGGAGGGCTTCCCCGTCAGCAATAACCGGCATCCGTTTTGGAACCTGCGTTTGGGGCTCCAGGCGCTGCTCTTGCTGGCGTCCATCGCCACCTCGGACGGCCGTGCATTTTCTCGTTGCATGCAGTTCGAGGAGGACCCCAGAAAGCCAGGAGCTGTGATTCACAGTAGCTGTAGGTTACCAGACGGCAGCATTAGAAAGGGATTGTAAATAACATGCAATGTGAGTGTAACATATTTGTTCAGTTATAAGATGATTGTTTCACAGAAGCCTTACCACTCTCTGCTTCATCTAAGAAAACCAATACCAAAAACGACGCTTTAATGAACGCTCAGCCCCGCGTAGTGTTTTCAGATGAGTTACGGTTAACAGATTTGTTCGTGTAGGCTTTGCTGTGGCACTTTGTACAATTAACTGCTTATTACGTATGATTACTCGCAGTGATCTATTGTTCCATATAACCCAAAAGCATGGTTTATTCATTAAAACACGGTTGACCTGAACTCGTGCCTTAGGAATTAATGCCCCCTCATGGAACCTGCTTGAACTGCACCTGCGGGTGGAGGCTCCAGCTGTGAACGCCACTGATGGAGAAAGGGCTCCTGCAGAAGGAACGGCCTGTAACGTGCACTCCGCACGATCGCGTCTCTTGTGTCTCCCTCACAGAAACAAACAACCTGAAGGCCATCCCGTCAGTCTGCACACAACCGTGAAGACATGGCCGCGTCCTGCCTGCAGCTGGGTACCCTGCACCCGGCATCCTAGGAGTCACATGCAGCCTTTCTCAGGGGACTGTCATCGAAAAGGAAATGTTTGATGTCTGTGTCAGCTGTAGTTAGGAAATAGATCCAATAAAGCTGTATTTTTTTTGCTGGACAGGCATCTGTGAGTGGTTCGTGACATGCGTGGAAGATTCCGCTTTGTTCTTGGAGTGTGTTTGCAGTTGCGTGTAATTGGATTGTCTGTGAGACGAGCCTCGTGTTGGGAAGGCTGTGTAGACGCGGCCGTTTGCTGTTGGAAGGGCATCTTGCCAGTAGAGCTCGTCCCTTTCTTCTATGTTTAGGTGAAAACCTGCTGTAGAAATTTGCGAGACGCCGGATAGTTCCCAGGCCCTGTAACTGAAGCGGCTCAGAAATGTTCATCCGGGCGAGGTGGAGAAGGAGCGCCTGCTAGTGCCAGATGTTTTTGCTGAGAGGAATATCCTGGGTGACGCTTTGGCCACACACACAGTCACATGCCATTTGACAGTCCTCTGGTGAGGAAGCATGTGTGTGTGGAAAGCCGCAGGTTCTCGCCGTCTCTCCCTGCTTCTTGAAGCTGCTCTTCCCCTTTTCCCCACCCAAGCTCTCTACTTCATGTTTGGATGGGAAAATATTACCTGGCCATGAGTTAAAATATGAAACTTGGAACTTTTACAGCGACTATTGTTCTCATGTTTCAGAAACATTTTTCATTTAGGACTTTACAAAATGCAAGAATTCCGATTTCTTTTGCTCAGAGGTGTTCAAGTTGAGTTAAAGGACTAGAGAAGTCATCACCACCTAAACAATTAGTAAGCATCTATCCCCCGGTTTTCTGCGCTTGACAATATTTGAAGTGAGCCTGAGAACACTGTCAAAGAGCACACGTGCGGTGGTGTGAGGAGAGCACAGGAGGCCAGCGTTCCGGGGGAGCGGGAGGAGACCCCGCAGGCCCCGCAGGTGTCAGGAGCCCTCAGCTGTCAGGGATGTAGGGAAGGTCCCACGTGCGGTGGTGTGAGGAGAGCACAGAGGCCAGTGTTCTGGGGGAGATCGCAGCTCTCAGCGAGTGGGGGAGTTGGTTAAGCCCTTGCTTTCCTCCAGCTGGCCCCAGTCAGGGCCTAACATGAGCCTTGGACTGTTCGACCCTGAGGCGGCCACCACATGCCCATCGCTTCCCTCTGCTGAGAGCAGAGCTGTCCACGCAGAATGCACTGGAAGCTCTTTCTTGGTTTCAAAGTGACTTTTTGAAACCTCCTTGGTTGTTCTCAACCCCAGTAATAGAATATTCCAAAATGATGAATGTATAAAGTGATAGTTTCTGCAAAAGAGGCTGAGCTTCTGCGAATAACCCTCTTAGTGTTTGTGCCTTTTAGGGTGATTTTGAGTAATTAGAAAAATGCACCCACAGGCTGATTACCAGCCAGAGGTTCTGCCTGTCAGGGGGAAAAGCTATCGGGCAGTTACGTGCGCCACCCTCACGTGTACACCAGAACCAAGACTGCGTTTTCCTGGAAGGCTAAGAGAGGTCAGCTTCGCGAGGCAGTGGAACCACCTTCCTGGTCTTCGCTGGCCTCTCTAGGACGTGGTCCTCGGTGACCAAAATCCTGGGGGAACCTTGGGGATGGGGCGTTTTCTGAGACCCAGCCAGAGGCAGGGCAGCTGCATCCGCCCGCAAGACCACATGTGCTTTGCTCCTGAGCAGAGACTGGGTGGCACGAAAGTAATGGAAGTATCAAGTTTCTCCTCAGAGCCAAGTGGAGCCCAGGAAAGACCCAAGTGCTCGAGCTTCCAGCCCTGGCAAGGGCATCTCGTTACATGAACAACCTGGGCCCCTTCCCCCAGCATTCCCCTCCCCAGCCAGGACGCACCCTGGCCCCGCTTCTAGAGAAGGACCCAAAAAATCAGCTGTTTCCGCCAGTTCCACCACATTCCCCACACGGCGTCCCCACCAATGACGTCACCGGAGGTTGTCTCATCTCAACGTGAATATTTTTAAAAATACATTCTGTGTTGAGATTAACAAGCTACACCTGAGTGAATGAGTGGCGCGAGCTCAGGGCACGCTGACACCGAGATAAAATAACCTCATTAGGAGAAGTCCGGGACCAGCTTTGTGGGTTTTTTAACACTGTAAATTCACATAAGATGAAAGCAACCACTTTAAAACATACAATTCCGTGGTGGTTTGTACATTCACAAGGTTGTGTAGCCACCACCTCTGTGTCCATAATCTTTTTGTCACCCCCAGATAAAACCCCGTGGCCTTCAGCAACTGCTCCCTGTCTCCTCCCTGCCCCCTGCAGTCCCTGGGACCTCGGGTTAACACGCCTCTGGATTTGCCCGTCCAGGCATTTCATGTCAACAGAATCATAAATGTGGGGCCCTTTGTGGCTGGTGTCCTCCCCATAGTGTGTTTCCGAAGGTCATCAGTGTTTCCCTAGGTCACCCATGTGGTCACGTGGGTCAATATTTCATCCCTTTTTATGGCCAAGTCATGTTCCCCAGGTGATGGGGACCCCATGTCGCGCTGCCCCTTTGTCGGCTGGTGGGCACGGTGGCTCCCACCTCCTGGCTGCTGTCAGCTGCGCTGCTGTGAACGCTGGTGTTCAGGTTTTTGTTCAGGTCCCTGTTTTCAATTATTTGGGGCATATTCCCTGGGAGTAGAACTCCTGGGTATTACGGTAATTGCATGTTTAACTTTTTGAGGAACTGTTTTCTCCTCCTCAGTTTTTAAATTATCCATCCCTAAGACAGATCCTGGCTCACTAACCTAATTTGGAATCACATATGTGAAGCACATCATATTTATAATTATTTATGCCAAAAAAATTAAGTTAGGTAGAAGATGACTAAATGTTCATTTATACCAAAGCAGAAAGCAGACCCCCCAGCCAACCCCACCTGCAGCCCCCTGGCCGACCCCCACCCCGTGCCCGCCTGCAGCCCCCTCAATGCCCGCCCACAGCTTCCCCAGCAGACCCCTCTGGTGCCCGCCTGCAGTCCCCCTGGCTGCCCCCCATGCCCACCTGCAGCCCCCCGGCAGACCCTCCTGTCTCCGCCTGCAGCCCCCCCCTTCCCCCAGCAGACCCTCCTGTCTCCGCCTGCAGCCCCCCCTGGCAGACCCTCCTGTCTCCGCCTGCAGCCCCCTTCCCCAGCAGATCCTCCTGTCTCCTGCCTGCAGCCTCTCCTTGCCCCCACCTTCTCCTTTAGAAAGAGACCCTTGACTCTGCAGCTGTGCATCCCATTGTCCTTAGGTAGACTCTGCCTGACCCGGCCTCTGCAGGCCTCTCCTTCCCTCGCCGAAGGTGCGCAGACTCTTCCCTGCCCTGCCTGCAGCCCCCGCTTCCCCCAGCAGACCCTCCTGCTCACTTCTGCAGCCCCCTTCCCAGCAGATTCTGTCTCCGCCTGCAGCCCCCGCTTCCCCAGCAGACCCTCCTGTCTCGGCCTGCAGCCCTGCAGCCCCCCGCTTCCCCCAGCAGACCCTCCTGTCTCCGCCTGCAGCAGACCCCCCTGCTTTGGGTTTCTGCCAGGACCTAAAGGCACAGTGTCTGAGTTGCCGTGACGGTGCCCACAGAGCCCCAGATGACACACGTTCATTTTACTTCACATATAAATTAGAGAAAACAGCCGTGGTGAGGGCATCGGTGCTGAGACTAAGCCAGTGGATGTGGTTCATGAGGAAAGGGGCTTCTGCCGACATCTACGCAGTGACTTTCCAGCTGACCCTAGAACTCAGCATCTGACCTCTCTATAAACACAGCTGCAGAGCGTTTTCCAGGTTGTGTCGTCAGAAAGCGACTACCATCTATCTCCACGTGGCTGTTCTCTGGGACCAACAAGTTTTTCAGCACATGGGACTTGGGTCCCATCTTCCCGGCAGGACGGAGCTGAGTGGCTCCTTCCTCAGAGTGTGTTTGGAGGGCAGATGCGCTGCCACTGCTGTGAATGGTTTAATTCGCAGAGCACTTTTGTGTCCAGCAGGCAATGCCCTTTTCCCAAAAAGGAGGGAAATGTTCATGAGCATCTATTCTGGGGCAACCTGAGTCTCATCCAGACCGGGGGGAGCTGGGGGCGGCCTGGGTCCCATCTGGACAGGGGAGCTGGGTGATTCAGGCCCACAGTACTCAGCCTCTCACGGGCTGTTTCCCCTCCCTGCTGTGCCTGCTCTTCCAACCTGGGCATTGGGGGCACGGTCTGGGCTCCCACTCCACCTGCCACAGCTCTTCCCAGCTGAGAATCTGCAGAGGTGCATTTTCCAGACTGCACATTTGTGTCTGAGGGGCCTGCTGGCTGCACAGACCCTGGTAGTGTGAATGTTGCCTTACGGGGTCCCTGGGTGGTGCAAACACCACGCCCCTCTCATGCTGCAAACACCACGCCCCTCTCATGCTGCAAACACCCCGCCCCTCTCATGCTGCCCAGCACAGATGTGGGGACAGGTCCTACCCAGAGGCAAAGCAGGCCCCCAGTGGCACCGTTGGAATGCTGTGGACTCTCAGCAGACACCTCGCCCTCTCTGCAGTGGGGGTGTCTGCTTTCCTGGGTGCGGTTCTCATGGGAGACAGCTGCGCGCTGAGCCCTCGAGGGAGGGGAGGTGCCTGTGAGACGTCAGCAGAGACCAAGTGCCCAGCCGGCTCCAGGGCTCTCAACAACTCCCTTCTGGGGATGCCAAGGTGGGCTCCCTCCCCCAGCCAAAGCCCAATGCCATGCCCGGTGCCACTCACACAGCTGTGAGGCAAGATCTGCCACCTGTGACCTTCAGGGAAACCCTCCCCTTCCCCAGCCTCAGTGTCCTCATCTGGAGAATTGAAGGGGAGCCTTCTTCACCACAGCCCCATCCTGGAGGCTGAGATCTGTGGGTAGGCAGGACCCCCTGCCAGGAAAACAGTGCTAACCCCAAACCCAGTGAGTGAGCGCATCGTGCTGTCCGCTGGAAGGAGGCGAGAGTGGAGGAAAATAGGAGGCACAGCCCATGGGAAGCCATGGGGAGGGGCCAGGACGCCAGCCTCGGAGGCCACGGGCAGGGCCACCTTCCAGGTGTCCGGGACAAGGGCTCTGAGGAAGGGAACGGTCAGTGTTAGGCCTCAGGTCCGAGGGCACTGGGTGCTGGCGGCAGGGGGCTTGGGTCGGAGCGGG